AAATTCTATCGGGAATACGGTAAAATAAGCTCACATCTTTACAAGAGTCAAAGGGTCTTCCCTAAGTACTACAATGAAAGACTAGCTGAGGAGATAAGAAAGAAGGCTTCAACCCAAGTACAACGACCTAAAGAGGAAATGGTCGTGTAACAACAATGTCGCAACAACATTGTAAGCATTCCAAAGGAAAGTGGCACCTACCGTGGCTAATGAATAGGAAGTAAGAGTTAAAAGTAATATTCAAGATCATATGAGTTGTGTGAAAACTCTGGCAAGTGTAGGCACTAAGATAAGCTAAGTATGGATGCAACAAGGGGCAGAAAGACCAGGAAAAGTAATAGATTACATTGAAAGAAAGCTAAGAGGGAACGAAAGAATCATTCGATCAATGATCTAGAGTTAGTATGTTATGGATACACTCAAGATTTTGGAACATTATCCAGGCAACATATTTGTTGACAATCATACAGCCATAGAAGACTCCGGTATAAGTTAAAAGAAAGAATTGAGCCCAGGACATAAACAAAGGATTGAATTATTAAAGGATTGTATCATGCATATTCCATAACTCCCATGAAAGGCTAAGGTAATAACTGATACCACAAGCCACAGATTGGGAGATATCTTAAGCCTACATAGAGATCAAAAAGAAGAGGAGACTAAAGGATTACATTGACTAAGCAAAACAGGAAGGACCAAGAGAATTATAGACCTCAGGATCACTCTTAAGTAGCAGAGGTATAGGAAAGATAGTACAATAGCCATATTTTATAATAGCTCTATGATGAAAGCCAACTGAAGAGTACCAGCCTCATAAGAAGTTAGTACGAAGCTCCCACCGGATTGTGTATGCACCAGAGATGTAAGAATTACAATAGAGCTTCAAGTTATGGATGTGAATTATACCTATGTGGAAGGGAGGTCATAAAAGAGATAGAAGATACGATGCGAGATTATAAGGTAAGAAAGGTAAATGTGAACAACATACAAGATACTTAAGGCAGAATATGTGAATAGTCCATACTTCGGATAGAAGGATAGAAGTGTTGGGATTCATTATCTAGGAATAATAGTGGCATAGTCAGTAGCATACCTTCTAGCCTATGGTCTAGGTATCGAAAAGCTTGACTAAGAGAGTAAAGAAGAGTTGAGACGATGTAATGTCTCGCTTGACGTTCCAAGAATAACATAAGAAAATCTATGGTGCAAGCAAGTTGAAGGAAAGTTTATAAATGGATATGTATAGGTCGCAAGCTAAAGTATGGTAGAGCAACAAAGTTTTAAGGAAACATGAGTAAGGATGAGGAAAGGCAAGGGAAAAGGTGATGAGAATAGATAAGTCCTCAGGAATAAGTCTGAGATAATGGTTTCTCTATGTTATGGAAAGTCCAGTATAGCCTGAATGAACTCAAAGGAGTCTAACACTAATAACATTCAGAAGAGATGGAATGTTGCCCTGTTAATAGAATGAGGGTGTAATTATTATAGAAAAAAAATGACGTTTGGACCTTCGATTGAGTAATGATCTGACGAATAAAAGAAAGGGATCTCATGAATTGGACAGGATTAAAATACTCACGCAAGGTAAATCACATTGGGATTCCATGAGATACGGTTATGAAAGTATGGTATCGCCCCAGGTGGAATAATCTAATCATTTTAGATGTTCCCCGATAAAACGTGAATCCTAGCAGAAATATTACATAAAAAGTTAAGTTATCAAGGGTGGATTATGGATCAAAACTGAGGTGAATCAACAATGGATGGATAAAAGTTATAAAGTATGAGAAGAAATTATGTTGTCACTCTTAAGATGAACAGTAATGTGAAAGCATTAGAGGACATAGATTTATACGTATGGGATAAGCAATGAAAGTAATCTGGGATTTGGTAGCAGACCTTAGTAACGAGAAGTCGAAGTAAGAATTATGATATAATATGACCTATGTAGATGCAGTAAAGTCATACGAATGGATAACCACGTCTATAAAATAAGATATAGCAATATTCGTAAGTTCGACAAAAAGTGAAGAACTTCAGGATTGGCTAAAAACTAGAGGAAAAAGGAGAGGAGAGTCGCATTAGCACACTTACAAGGTCAGTATCATAGAAGCTGCATGATGGGAGTTAGCAACAGTTATGAGATTGGTAGGAATTTGATCACAAGTCATGGTGTGGGAAAGAGGCCTAAAGGGGGGGAATACCCTTGCCTTTGAACTTATTCACAGAACAGTTGCCTAGATGGCAAGAGGATTACTAAAGTATTCGCAAGAGCTATGGGATATGAGAACGATAAGCACATCAGTCAACATTCGAGGACGAATGTTCCAAAGGGAGGAATGATGTTATACCCCATATTATCGTACATGAAAATACGCCATAAATAAATTAATGAGAGCCCGGGAGTGAGATGTCACGCCCCGCAGTACTACATTACGACGATGTTGCACCATGTAGTATTGTGCGTTGAATTTGTTGTAAGGTAATTGGCATCAGTCCAAGGAAAAGATTATTTGGAGATTATAAGGATTGTAAGTGATGAATAAATTCGTGAAGGTGAGAGGGAAAGCAAGTCGAAGAAAATGAATTTCGTTGAAATCTAGTATTTTGGGATAAAATATGGCCCGAACTAAAATATCCAATATTTATGGACAAGTACCATACAAGGTGTCACATGACCATGATAGTAAGGTATATAAGGTATGTGAAAAAAGAGTAGTATTTTAAGTAAATGGAAATAATTCTCAATCATGCGGGTAATTGGTTAATTACCGGGTAACAGGACACTACCCAGTTAACCAATAAGTGGATAATTTTTTTTGGATAAGCTTTACAAAAACTTCCACGTGGTTGCACCCATTAAGCCCAAGAATGACTCATCAAGTTATTATACTATGTGGCAAGTTATACAAATAAGTCACTAGATTAAGTGACAATTCATTCTTACACGTAAGGAACTCTTGACATCTTTAGTGGAGAAGCATGAAACTTTTCCAAAATCAAGATAATTAACAAGGAGCAAAATTACAGTACTTTCGTCTGTATCACAAGTTTTGACTTTGAAGGTAAGGAAATGAACTATACAACTCTACCTTACTTTGTGCTCACTACTTGGCATTTGCCATTTTCCATTCTCACTATCAGAAACGTTAAACCATAAGATGCCATGAAACATTAGCCATTCTTAAGGCTTTATACAGAAACACAAATTTTTGTAAATAGAAGAAATCCAACGAAAAGTCTTGCACAAAACAATTC